TAGCAACAAAAGGTACGTTAGGTAATCTTGTTTGTCTTATTTCGCACTATTGTCCACTTCGCTGAAATTGATGGGCATCTATGAATCAAAAAATGAAAACGTATGCAAACAAAAACAAACATTATCCGTATTTTTTTACTTTGGAGTATTTTTTAACTTAGTGCGTTGCTCCGTTTTTAAAGCAAACTTCAGTGTGTTATCTCCGTATCTATACCTGGTAGTGTGTAATCCTTCAGTTTATTTAAAATATTATGAAATGTTGAAATGAAATGTAATGTTGGTTTAGCCCTGCAATTTATAGCCTGAGTGCTTAGAATGTGTACTGTATGTTTGGAGATCTTCAAATATCATGATTTCGTGAGTCGCAACGACAGTGCATAGATCTAGATTTAACCTATAGAATCATCTACTAGGTTCGATGATATATGTTCATATTGCAACATACATACACATTTTGTCGAATTAGGTGCACGCGTATATCTTAAATACAGTACAGTTAATGAATTAACTCATAAGGTTCACTCGCAGCTGGAAAGACTTTTTACTTTAATTCATGTGTATGGCATGTACTTAGACGTTTAAAGAGGTCACATGCCACTGGAATCATTCTGTACGAAAGTAAATCTATTTTTGTTGAACCAATGAATTGTTTTAGATCACATGAGCACATGTATGATGTTATTTTCATCTTTATATTAGAATAATAAATGAAAACAAATTAAACGACCATTCATCTGTTATACAGATCAGTCGACTTTTCAGTTCGCGCCGAGATGTTTCATCAGTCCTGTTGAGTACCTTGAAAATGAGGAAACCGAATCCACTGCACAACAGTATCTAGACTACATAAAAGATGCATCTAATGTAAAAACATATTTTAAGGTACAGCTCCATAATGCTTATGTTCATTTAACTAAACAACTATTACGTAATACGGCGTGTTTACTCTATAGCTCAGTAATATTTTTTTTCGTGGGAAATGAAATTGATGAAACATCAGAAGAAAGCCCAAAGGGAAGTTCAAAGTAGAATGTCCATCTCTTTGTATATGCATATATGTGTTCCTTCCAACGTAACTGTTCGAGTACCTTCCCTTTACAGAAGGGGGTTCGTGACGCGGTAATAGTAACTGCTAAAGTAAATGAAATTTGGAAAAGTGAAGAGGCTGATATCTATAACAACTACACACTATTTCGCTACATGGGAACGAGGAATGGTGTATATCGTCAGTTACCTGGGATTACGATGAATAAACTACATGACACTACAGCAAGACCCTGGTAGGTAGTCTGTATATATATTTTTCATCAAGACGCCACATGATGCAATAAATACTAAGAGCATGTAAATGTTCAGTCGACAATGACGTACATTACCCATTGATTAATATACTGATGCTAAATAAAGTTGCTGTTTTATTTTTTTGTGACAGGTACGAAGTAGCTAAAAACAATGTAGATAAACTCGTGTTGTCACTGCCGTACACAGACGAGAATGGGGCTGGTGAGGTTATAGCAATGAGCAAAGCAATCACTAAAAAGTGGGTAGACCCCCTTACTTGTCACAATGTTCAATGACTCCGTTTGGCTGAAGCAATTTCCGGAAAGTTGAATAACAAAAGACATTATTAGTCATAATATATTGTCATTTTGATTACTCATAGTATAAGTTCAACTGCTACGTCATCAAACGTTCTAGCTGTTATGGGAATGGATTTCACCATGACATATTTCTATAAATTATTGATCAAGCACTATCCGGAATGTGGAGAGTCCAAAACCAGGTTCGTGTTTTTTTTTGTTTCTTTTAGTATCGTCTTAGAATGTGCTGAAAAACGATAAGTCTGCAAACTTTTGGTCTTCTTATGACAGACGTTGCATACTCGTATGCAGGCCCAACACTTCTTAAAATATGATCGTCTTTTGAGACCTATTATTACATATTGAGATAATAAATATTTACAAAATATAGTACTAATAAACTTGAAAACTTTGCAGCATCATCTAGCATGTAATTGAATTTCAGAAGAATTATCCTATCTCGTGTCTTTTAATTTGTTTTGTTGTACAATCACTGTATATTTTTTCAATGCGGCTGAAAGTGCAACATTACGATAAATCATAATCCAGTTTAGTTTTCCAAATGCAACAAATAAACATATTTTTGTCCATATTGCAGTTATAAACTGTAAAATCTCATAAAGCTGCTCATCATTGATAAACACAGTTCATGCAATATTAAACTGTTGGGTTAAACTTGCATAACCGCCTCTTCTAACTGCAGTTTTGATAGTGCCACTACCTTCTTTTCCTCCTGTCCTTTCTCTTTTAAACTTGTATGTTTGTCAACAATAGAGGCATAACGTTTAGCATAAAGTTGTGGAACTGTATTCGTTGCCAAGTCCTGAATACTTTGCATTGTAGTCTTATGCAATGTTTCAGCATCACAGTTTTTGTTTGCGGTACTACACCTCTTGAATCTTTGTGATATGATCTGAGATCCTAAGGACCGTGGACAGAATACAAATTATAAAAATATTGAGAAAATAAGGCTGATATAAAATGTATTTATCTATTTATAATTATAATTCTTGACTCAAAACAGTAGCAAAACAGGGATAAGCGCCCTAAAAAAACAAAAGCACTGATCGATACAATCACCGTGGCGTTCGTTCACAGGTTACAACGAACTGGTAGAACAATATACAATGGATGCTCACCGTCTTTATGTTTTCTCTGGTGTAAATTCTTACTAGCGGCGATATGTCATGTTGGTCAGTTGGATGCCGATTGTCCCCCCTGTTTTTTTTCGTTCAGTTTTTCAATTATGGAGGAAAACTCATCATCTGCAATTGTCTTTAAACGATTACACTACCGAGTACCTGGTTTATATATCGGGTCATTGTTCCCGATGTCGTCAAACACTGCTTGGAATCGGCCTGTCGCAAAGCTTCATACTGTGGGACCAAGTTGCTGGACAGGAATATCGCCGCGAGATTACGGATTATAAATGAAATTTACAAATCTAGAAGGTTTCACTTTGTTCACATTGAAAACAACGTACAATTTCACCGGTTACTAGACGTAACGACCCGTTACAACGAGTCCGTGACTGTGATTTACCACCCATAATACACCCTGCCATCTTCACACTATTTTCGGTGTCATGTAATACAAATTTCGTAATTTCGCGCTAATTATATAGTCTGCACCTGGAAAAAAGCGGCATATACAACTTGCGCCTGAAGTAATTAATATAAGTAATGCTAGTATAGGACTGATATTTGTGTATTTTGCTGTTGTGTATTTTGTTTGTTCGAAACTTCTAACAAACAAAATCGTCGATTGGCACGTATTTTACGCATATACTAAATTATTTCAGTGATTTCTTTGTTGTTCAACGACAAATGAAACTTGAAAATATTGTACAAATAAACTGGCCCTAAAATTGCGTAAATCTACAAC